GATCCGACCGTTGGATTTTGCTGAAATTTTCAGAGAGTGTTTCCAACACATAGGGCTTCAACGTGTTAAAATTTCACGTCCATCGGAGTTACGGATCTTCTGTTATCAAAGTTACAATATACACATTGTTGCTGATTTTTTGCAGAAAATATTGTCCTGGTTTTCTCGACTGTTGGAGTATCAAATCTTGTCCGATCGTGCTGAAATTTTGGGAGGAGTTTAAGGACTCGTGGATCTTCAATCTGAACGGTGGAGATCGAATTCCAACGGTTCAATCTTGATTTATGAGCTTCTGAATAGCCCGCAGAAATACACTCAGAATATTCAAGGAGAGAGCGTGAGATCACCACAATTCCGATCAGAATAGAAACCTGTGAGAAAAGTACATGAGAAGATCAGCCATGGATCTTCTCTAGATATTGTTCAGCTGTTGCAACCTGGTGGGCTGAGCAAAGGTCAGAAACACATCCTTCGTGCAGAGCAAGAAGAAGGTGTAATAGGCCTGGTGAAGACACAAACCGAGTTTGCTGTCAGATCTCGTAAGTAGACAAATCAGATTCATTGGAAGGTTCTATTGAAGTTTGATAGTGTAATTCTTACGTTGATCTAGTGGAAAGGCTATTACACGGATGTGGGCCTCGCAGACGTAGGAGATACTGCTCCGAACTGCGTAAACAAATCTTTGTGTCTTGGTGTGTTCATTATTCTGTTTGTGTGTGTGACTGTTGAAGAAGGTGTTGTAGCATCCTGCGTATTCTAAAGCTGCAACACTTTCTTCAATAACTGTTTTGCCATTGTTTGTTTGCTGTTGTGGTTATTTGCTTGTGAGTGCTGGAATTTCATGAGAAACAAAAGAATCAGCAAGTTTTTTTTTAATTATAAAAGTAATTGCAAGAAGTAGTAGCCCATGAATCAAACATTTTTTCAAGTGTGCCATTAAAGGGAAAAATATGCCATGAGAAAAGAACTGCAATATGTTATCAAGTACAGAAAACATGGCATGCCTGACTTCTAGAATCCAATCAAACCTAAAATCATATGCTGTACTCCATATCACCTAGCAAGAGTTTGATCATAAAATCTTTCATTTTCCAAATAAAAAAAGTGATACCCCATAGGACTAGGGTTTGTTTGGTCGGAAGGAATGGAAAATGACCCCCTCCTCTCATTTGGTTAAAAACATTTTTTAAAAAATCTGGGATCGCTAAATTTTCCATTCCCGTTACAAAAAAAAAAGAACAATTGTGTCTCATATTTACAAAAAAATGTTTGAGCCAAAAGATAGGAACCACTTTTTGTCCCCGATCCAATTTCTTAAATAAGAAATTAATTTTACAATTTTAGATAGAGATGTCTGATTTAGAGGATAGAAAAACAAGTCACATTAGAAAATGTTTGATGCAAAGAACCAAAAATAAGGGTAATAGGAATATCTTTCTTGAAAACCCTTTTAGAAAAAATCACTTGGCACCAAATAGGGAAATCGTGAAGCACTCAAATAATAAAGCCTCTAAAAAAGAGAAATGAATTACTCCCTCCGTCTTAAAACTTTCTTTCCAGAGCACTATTCCAACTTCACGACAATTTATATTTATTTGTGTTTTTTAATGGCCTATATAATAAAATAAAATATTCTTGTCACCACTTGTTTTGTTGAACTTTTGATGTAGTTTTTAAATATGTATGTTTTATTTTTTATTTCTATACTAATATTTAAATAAAATAGATTGAAAAATCTTGAGATTTTTCTTCATTTTGCGCAACGGGAAGAAAGATATAGGACAGAGGGAGTATATAGATTTAAAAAAATCAATTCCACAGACATAGAATTATGTATATCGTCGGTGTAATATAAATTCTAAAAAATTTATTTATATACAACTTTCCAAGTATAATTGGGAGGGTTGTTCTCATCATCGCAAATCAAAATATTCAATCCTTATTGATTTTTCACACATGAAATAGCAACGTAAAGTTGACCATAACTGCAAATTGGCTAAATTCCGTTCAACACGTCAAAGCTGAGTTCATGAATCATGACACTTGAGAACATTTGCGACGAACAGCTTGTTAAATGCTCCACATATCTCGTATTATTAATGTCAGAAAAGATGTTGATAGATTTGGATTAAAAATTCAATCTAATACGAAACAAGAAATTTAAGTGCGTCCAATTTATGTTCCTAAAGCAGCATTGAAATTCATGCTCCTACTTTTGAAGCATAAAACTTGGTACATCTAGACTTTAAGTGAAATATATGATTGGACCCAAACCAATGGTACCTCACAGCAATAGTAATATTGTGGAAAATTCTTATTGTAAATCCATAAATAGGGAGCCAACCTAAATAGCTTTGTTCCTTTAAAAAGAAAAAATGATGTGATTCAGGCATACACTTTGGTTTGGGTCCAATTATATATTTCTATTAAATATTGATGCTTGAACAGCTCAAAACAGAAACATTTCAGAAAAGAAGACACTGAACTCCAATACTGTTACTAATCTAACAGCTTAAAACAGAAACATTTCAGAAAAGAAGCATCTGATTGGACATCATCAACCACTAGAGTTCTGTAACACAACAAAAACATTAACCACTGGTTTGGTTGAGATGGCATCTCAAAAACACCATCATAAGAGTGAAACAGATTGATGCGAGGGTTCGTTCATGTTCCTTTTTCTTTCTTCTACGTATACAGTCATCAATCAAGACTTATGAGGTCATATAATCTCCACCACTACATGTTCTTTAGCTTCAGACAAGTTCTCGTTTAACAATTTCGGGGCAAAAAGGGCTATCAATAATGGGTTTCTTCTTAAGCTACGAACGAAATCATCGTGGCTGATCCTCCCATCATTATCCGTATCAAGTAATTTGAAGAGGTCATGGACCTGTTCAACATGTTTTTTAAGGGCAGTTAAGAAAATGATGCATTAAAGTGACAGTTCATCAGAGAAATTCTTGGATTTGGATGAGGTGGGGCCCCAAATCATCATCTCCTTATTAACAACATTAGTCCATTTGGACGATTGGGGGAGTAACGCCAATGCTTTATTACGTATATATTAACTCACCTCATCCTTGCTCAAGCACACAGCTGATAGCAGAAGAGTTTCTTCCAGCTGCCACACAAAGTAAATATCGGATTCAGAGGTTTTTACTAAAGAGAGGGTCCTCATAGGCTATCTATCACATACTCCCTCCGTTCATAAATATTTGTCTGTTCTGACTTTCTACATACATTTAGAATCAAATGAATGTCGACACAATGCGTGTCCATATTCATTCAAATTTTTGCGTACTCCTGAATAAGTAAAGTTAAACACGTGATAAAACAATCAGATTACCCTGTACATTAGTGAGTAGGCCAGTTTATTTCTAGAAATAATATGACCTTTCTCTTTAAAAAAATCACTTCGTTATGTTTTATCTACTCAAGGCCTTTTCATTAGTAAGACAAGTAATTACGGAGTTTTTTCTTGAGGGAATGTAGAACTTAGGATGGTTTAGCCATTTAGATAATGATAGTGTCTTTTTGGATGAAGCCATGTGGTTCCCTTTCGAATACATATTGAATGAAATCATGGGCATTGATTGATGCAAACCTCTCGTTCCAAAATGAAGCTCTTCCCATTACAATCACATTTTTCAAATGCCAATTCACATGCCCGGGAAAATGAGTGCTGCTTCAGTATGTAAGCTGATGCAACCAAGAACTGAAAAGGAAAAAGAGAGTTTCAAATCATGAAAGGTTGGGATGAGGCTGACAATATATACGACTGGTGATGGTAAATTGAGAAGAGTTGGGATGCTACCTGTCTGAATGTAATCCGGCCTTTCTTTTTTACATCAACGAAACGGAATATCTGTAAATATCCAATACCCAAAATACCAGAGCATAAAAACACAAGGAATTATGTTCCCCCGACCAAACAGGTTTTATGATATTGTTATAGAGACATCTACTAGTAGAAAAATTTAAAATTAATGTAGATGTAGGTGTATAGCAAATGAGGAAAAACATAACGATACACTCCCTTTGTCCCTAAAAGATCTTCGCATTATGCATAACGATGTAAAATCCTAAGTTTTCAATTCATTTTATTTAAATATTGGTATATAAATAAAAAAAGTAAAACTTACATATTTAAAAACTACACCAAAAGTTCTACAAAATAAGTGATGACAAGAATATTCTCTTATATCAACTAATCAATTAAGACGTTCATATAAACAAAAGTTCACGTGAATTTTGAAAAGTGAAAAGTGAAGATCTTTTAGGGATGGAGGGAGTAGTATATTTATTTTGAAAAGGCTGGGAATTTAAACAGATTTTATATACGAGTATGTTTTATTTACATCCATTATAAGACCAAACTAAATCTGCATAATTGCACACATGGTTTTTATGAAAAAGAAATGGCAAGTGGTTGTTCAATCACCAAGCAAAACATGCACTGTGAACCATGGCATAACCCATGTAACAATTACATTTAGTCTTAAGTGCATAATTCAAATTATCTAGGAGTAAGAATCCATATATCAGAACAGTCAATGCAAAATATTAACAACAGATAGAAAAGAATATTATAGTTTCACAACATAAAGAATGAAATAGTAGACATCATGTTCAATTAACCTTTTTGGAAAGATCACAAGGCTTGAGCCTTAATACCCTGAAGAAGTCATGCATTTTAACCTGTCCCCTGGAAATGGAGAGAAGATCATTAAAGGCAGAAACCTATGAACCTACGCAATGAATTTTCCAGTTTCCAAAATCATCTGTACAAAAGGGTAAAAGTGAGAATTATTCCTTAATACATGTATAAGTACATTCAAGCCTAAATTGGGGAGGGAGTGGGAAGGGGGGATAATAATTAAATCCAAAAAAGTCTGCACCATTGAAAGACAAAACACGTCCCAAAAAGGTGAACTAATGAAGCAAGAGTTAGGAAGAATGGGATACTAGTATACCTAATAGACTAATAATATAGCACTAAAAGCAAAATCATACGTAGTATGTCAGCTAACACATGTGTTCACGAGAATGCCTCCTTCGTTTGGGACAAAAAAGGCACAAAGTTGCTAGTGTTACAATTCATTTCAGTGTGAAACTGAACATAGTGAAACTCATTTGTTTCAAATGAGAGTAACAAAAAAAGAATTTGTTTTTGGTCGAATGAGTTGAACTATGTTCAATGAATAGTGAAACTTATCCCTCGCCAAGGCGGCCAAGCCAATACAAACTATAGGCAAAGGAAAGAGCCCCATTTCATAGCACCTTGGGAGCGCAAGTTGAATTGCAGTACGTAGTCTCTGAATGAATTGAATGTTCAACCAATCTCTAGCTTGAACAGAGGAACGAAGTTCATTGAACATAGTTCAATTCATTTTACTGAAAGGTACATAGTTGATTGACTGAAGGGAATGAACAAGGATACCTGGAGTCTGGACTCATAGAAAGATAAACATCTAGAAAGTCAATAGCCTCTAATGTGCTCAAATGAAAGGCCTGCAATAAAAAACAGAAGTGCAACGTTGCCTTTTTTACTGTCGATGAAATTAACATAAGAACTATTGATGGAATTTACATTAGAACTATATTGCTATGGAACACAGTAAATTTGTGTCTACCACTTATAATAGGCACACTAAAAAACACTTGCAATTTACCACTTTCATCGATTTAAAGTCAACTTAAAAACTTAATTATTGTCCGATTAAAAGTCATATTCAAACAGAAGTTAATCTGCATCATATTTAATATAATTTTATAATAATAAAGTGAACCAAATGTGCTGAGCTAAATATAGTTAAACCAACAAATAAATTTAAAACATATAGCTCTCTTTAGTGATTTACCTCACTAAAATTTAAAACTTGTACCTCTGAAACACAACCTTTTTTATGAGATTTTTTTTTTTGGGGGGGGNGGAGTATTTTAGTATATCGTGGACTCCCGGTCATGGCTTGTTTGTCTCTTTAAGAGGGATGAAGTTATTGAAAAATGCAAAAATATAGGCATAACAAAAAGGCATCTAAGTCATACCCTCACATAAATTACACCACAATCTCCTTGCAATATATTAGCAATGTCATGGGATGACCCGGGGGCCCTATGATACCCCATTTGTAAAATTAATGGTTCCTCCCCCAACCCCCCCCCCCCCCCCAGTAAACCCCCGAACCGAACCAAACCCACCCCACCATCCCCTTAAATTGAACCCCCAAAGTTTATTAGACTTTGGAGTCAAAATCTTGACTCCAAAGTCAAATAAGTTTGGTGGGTGCAATTAAAGGGAATGGAGGGTAGATTTGGGTCAAAGCGGGGTGGGGTGATTTACCGTGGGGTTAGGGGTGTAAGAACCATCAATTTTACAAACGAGGTACTCTCGGGTCATCCCATGACATTGCTTATAAAAAAACTTCCCACGCATAGTTTAGTGGACATTATAAGTGTAAGTTCATGAGGGCGCAGCGGAAATCACCAATTAAGAGCTATGCAAACAAATCAATCCACTATGCTGCAGAAAAGACGCTGCAGCACTGTCACAGTAACAGATGACGGACAGTGTGCTATAACACTTCTCTGTCACAAGCACGCACACAGAAGCAGATGATGCAGAGAGCGTTACAGTGCCTACTCGGCAGAATGCTGTAACTGTAAAAAGCGTAAAAACAACACCAGATATGTTTACGCAGTTCGGAGCAAATTTTCCTAGTCTGCAGGGCCCACGTCCGTGTAATAGCCCTCCACTAAATCACTAGATGCAAGTTACACCGGTACATAACAACATGATGAGACACACTTTTCCGAATTGTTATGACAAAACTTCTAATCTAGGATTTCTAACCCTAACTCTGTTCAGATCCGTTTTGGCTATCACATCTCCACCGAGATCACGAGGACAAACATGTTGGCAGCCCTCTCCTTAAGCTCTTGTCCACCTCCTGGTTGTCACGATCTGTTTTTCATTTTAGGACTCCTTCATGTAGATCGTATCTTTCTTCACACAAGGGAAGCTCCGGGACGCGACAGGACTCTACATCAGCGTATATTCTTTGTTTTCCTTCTCAATCGCTCCAAGTAATTCCCAGGGACCTGCTGCGTATTTATAGGCTTCTCTTAACACAATCCTAGTAGGAATAGGTTAGTAGAAGTTGGCTTGAACTCTCCTTCCTTAATCTTGATCCACAAGTAGCCTAAAGAGTTGGGATTCCTTAGCATGTACAGCTGGAGTTATTATCATGTAATCACAATACCAATAGGTCTCTAATTCAGATTGCAGCTTAAAATCCCGTGCTCAGACCTCTGATCCCGAATGGTGTGTTGCAGCATCGTGCTGTAGCATCTTCTGCGTCAACCTCGAAAACTGCAGCAGCTCTAAAAGTCTAAATAAAATAAACCTCTCCTAACAAATAGAGGTTTCTACCTAGTAAAAAACCTATCACATATGGGATTCTATATTGCCAAAAGATTAGCCAACACCATGGAACTAACAATAAGAAGACAACAAAAGAAGCAAACATATAATGAATACAATATGAACTTACCGAGTTAACCCAGGCCATTTCAACCATATAGAGGGAGGGGTTTTCCTAAAATCAAAAAATGGTAGATCAGTGTTAAAATATCACAAGTGTCTATGATAACTTTTGAGTGAGTAGCAGCAGCATTACAATTTTCAAATGCGCTTCAACAAAAATTGAACTCCATTCGGCAAATATATTTACAACTAAAAGCACAATTACAACTTTACAAGAGAAGTGAACTATCTTATCCAAGTAATAAAACTGCCTAATTCTCTGCCAGAAGAAAGGTGTATCCCACATTACCTTGTGATTACTAGAAAAAGAGAAAGAGAGCGCATAAAAAAAGAACAAAAGGGGCATGTAACAAGCACCATAGGAACATTGTGTGAGTTGGAAAAAGGATATGATTGTATACCTGCTTGTACTCAACAGCTTTCGTAAGAAGCAAAGCATCAGCATAAGAATGGGATGTTTGTACAACATTCAGTGCACTGGCAATGATGTGCCCAGTCTGCATATCATAGATAATGCATTATTATGGAACAAATGTAAAGCATTATTATTGTTCATAATAGATGGACTTTCAGATAATATCGACGTGAACCGAGTGGAACTTAGTGATATTATTGTTCGTAATAGATGGACTTTCAGATAATAGGAACGTGTGAACTGTTAAAGCAAGTTAGTTTCCATTGTAAAAATCATACGACATATAATACATACAAAGATATGTGTACTATTAGAAAGTAAAGAGTATCTATGAACATAATTATTATGGCGCCAAGTTGAGGTACGGCGCTGGGGTACCGCCGGGATGCCTAGTCAACTAGGCGACCGCCCGGGCGACACAGAACATAGGAGAATTGCTGTGCATTAAAAACACTAATATAAATATAATAAATTATATATTGTAGTTTGTAAAGTTTAAAATTTTCTAAAACATCAAAGTTTAAGTACCAAAGTTACTTTTAAGTACTTTCCTCAAAGAAAAAACAAAGTTGAAAAAAAGTGTTACCAACTTAAGTTGGTAATAAATTAATCATTTAAACTTTAAAAATATATGCACATAGTATCTATTAGGAGATAAAGTAGAAAAAAACATTAACTTGCAAATAAACTAATATATAAAGCATTAAAAAAACAAATCACCGGAGCCGGGGGTATAAAACACTTAAAAAATAAAGCACCGTTGTAAGGAAAAAAAGGCACTAGACTAGGCGAGCCAAGGCAAGACCAAGGCGATGCCTAGGCGAGGCGAGCTTCTATGGTGAGAGTAGCAGGGTGCCTGGACACCTAGGCGGCGCTGTGATAACTATGTCTATGAATTTAAATCTAAAATAAATCAAAAATAAAAAGGTGTATTGGTCTAATTTTTTTAAAAAAGGAATGCAATTGCAAACATGGGAGCTAATTCACAATTCCAATAAAGGAAAGTAAACAAAAAATAGTATTAAGCCAAAGAGATACACTTTTAGGGACAGACCAAAAATTCCAGATAGTTTTTCCCCATTCATTCCGTTTTGTAATAATAACACAACAACCCAGTCGAATCCCATGAGAGTAGGGCATGGGGAGGGCGTGGGTATGCAAACATTGCCCCTACTCGAAAGTAGGGTCTAGATCCGCTTTGTAATAATAAATAAAAATAAATATAAAATATGTATGTGAGATCACCCACGTACCATTCATTAAATATTGGCAATATTACTAGTGAATGGGCGAAGATAGGATAACTTTAAAGAGAAGAGTGATGATACAAAGGTCACTCTGTATTTTGGAGTGACTATGGTCAAAGAGGATGGGGGGACCTTCTTCAATAAGGTAGCTAAATAAGAGAGTATAAAATATTTCAAAACTCTATAGGTCAAAATATAGATTGAAGTTGTCTTAAGTCAGCAACATACATCTATTCATAAGAATGCCCTATGTATGGTCTTATCCCAAGCTCTTGAAATCAATTATTTTGAGTTTCCCAAAAACTTCACACTTTTTGTTTGGGACGGTCCCAAAATAAGTTCTCGTTTCCTTTTAAGAAATTACAGGGCTCAAGTTTTTTTCTTTGTATAAAAGATAAAACTCAGCCAGACAATTTCATTTTTTTTAAACTCCACAAAAAGTAAATGCAAAGTTATTTAAGAGAATTGGGGGACGGAGGAAGTATATTAAAAAAAGAACACTTAAAAACTATTACTAGCACTTCTTTTAGAATCATGCAGTGAAATGTTAGCTAAAATCATACAATAAATGTTTAACCATCGGATTTGACTCACCCTCTGGGCAAATTGAGAAGCGCTTTCCTTTTGATTCTCAAGTGGGGATACAATGGGAAGGTATTCAACCTACATCAAAAGTGTAGTGGCTTTATAGTTAACCATGATTGCGACAAGATAAAAGCAATAAAGTGTATAACCATGGCAAGTTCATGCTCACAAGCTAAATGATGAAATAAATATGAAGTTATAAACACCATGAGCTTAGCCCGTGTTTTCTGCTTTCTGAGGAAGGCAGGTCCGGTCAGTCTTTTTATCATACCTCAATGAAATTGTGAAATTGTGTGAACATTCTAAACATCAACTTCGATAAAGAAATGTTTCCCCTGGACAAATCATCATAAGTCATGAGGCTGTTCTAGGAAACCAACATTTATATGACCATTAAGAAATATTGCCAGAAAGATGCATACCACGATTGGTCAAAGTGTACATATGGGTAGCGAACAATAACTGGCTGTATAGGAAACCCCGGAATAAATGCACCCAATTGGAAAGATATAATAGCTCTTCCATTGGTGGTTGTGCCTTCAGGAAATAAAAGCACTCGCGGAAATTGATCGTGAGAGGCCTTTCTCTGTATTCAGATCCTTGAAAGCATATTTCTGTATCAAATCGCTTATATATGGACAAAATATATAATTGTTTGAACATAAATATTCAGAAATGTTTTAAATTTGATAAATAGCTGACAAAACATTATGTCAATGTCATTTCTTTCCTGCTGAACTTTATATGAACTTCATTGCAATTATCTATGCAGCTTGAGGCAATTTAGTACACTAAGCGACTTTGAGAGCAGTCAGAAGTTTGTTGTACTTGGGGTAGGTTTTTGAGTATATATTGGAAGTCCAACAAATAACACTTCCGAAAGTCCATTATTTCAGCTGAACCTTTTTATTTAGATTAGTGATCAAATCAAAACAGCTTTGGGATAAGCCATATACTACTAGGATAGAAAGATGTTCTAGCCAAATATTAGGTATAAGATTGAGATTATTACTACAAAAAATAAAACAGCTCAAAACCTTGTTACTCTCATGATTTTCTAAATGAAGAAGCAAAGATACAAAATTTTGATTTTCTAAATGAAGAAGCAAAGATACAAAATTTTGTACCTTTATTTCATTGACAGCATTCTTCCGTGAACCCTGTGAAAACCTATTTACATATATCACCTGCACATTGAAGGAAAATGGATGAATTCATATTTCAATTTGTAAACGCAAATGCAAGCATGCTATGCCAGGAAAACCCAAAATATTTGTCGTGTGAGTTCAATTGAAATAGAAATTAAGACCTCTATTGATTTGTCACACTAATTATTTTCAGTCACTAGTGAACACGGACAAAATAAGGGAAAAAATGAATACCTGCATAGCTCGGATTATGGTCCCAACAAATGGCATCGAGTCATGGGATTCTGATGAAACAATGGTGGGACATAACTCATAGAAATAGAAGATGGGGTCAATGTACGATACGTGGTTAGATACAACAATAGGAGCAGTCTGCCGTGATGCAGGTTTCCCCTTTCGCTTTATCCAATGATAGCTACACCATAAAAATGTAAAGTGTTGGTACTCAGTTGTAGACACAGAAGCATTATGAATTCCTTTATAACTTTAACTTGATGGATTCTATCTTCTAAGGATATATAGATTCAAATATTTTAGACAACCAAGACTCTTGGAAGATGCAACCCAAGACTCAAAGCACATTGAACAGTCACGAAGTGGCACCAATGGTGCTCTATTAAGAAATCAACACATGTTAACAGAAACTTCTAAAGAAACAGAAAACGAAATTCCTCAAGATTTCTAGAACACATTACACCTACTAGATTGGAACACTTGTCACAGTGACAATATCAGATGGTGAGTGAAAGTGGGATAAAACTATGGTTTCTTCAACTGTATCCATTATTTCTACATCATAGTGAACTGGCAACCTGGGAAATTCATTTAATAAACGAAAGACGTATCGGGTAGCATAAGATTACCCAAAAGAGAAGAGGATACATCGGGCGCTAATTCGGGTAACCCACATGAGTCTGGACCTCCATTTGGGCATTGGATTATGCCTATCCTTCCAGCCTCCGAGAGCAATCTGAGTAGCCACATAGCCAATCATCAAGCAAATACCGAAAATGGCCAGCCGGAGCAGAGCAACGGGGAAGCAAATCACGATCTTCGCCCACTCATACACCCCTTCAATCTCCGGCGTGTGGTTCTTAAACGGGTCAACCGTGGCAGCTTCTGGCGACTCGAACCGGACCGCCCCGATGAAACCGTACGGGTTGTCGTCGACCGACTCCGGGCCGGCGTCGCGCATGGCGTCACAATTCGTACTTCGAAAGGCGGGCTGGGGAGTGGCGTGGTCGTTGACGGCGACGATCGTGTGGGGGCCATCGGAATCGGAAGGTCGGAAACGGGTCTCCGGCGGTAAAAGAGGAGTTGACAGAGATTGGGCCGACATGGCGTTGGGATTCCGATTTCTTTGCAGTGAATCAGTGGAGAGAAGATGGGAAAAGGGAATGCGAAACGTTTTTTTTTCTTTCTTTCTTTTTTCGCTTGTCTTTTTTTCGTTGTAAATTTCCTTTTGGGTCACGTGCTTTGTGTCCTAAATTTCTTGTCTTCAATGTTGTTCCGGTCGCGTAAAATTTGACCTCAAGTAATCCGGAAAAACTACCCGCACTTTCCAATGTCTTTTTTATTTCATTTTTATGTGTCCTCTAATCCTCTTTGAATCCTCCTAATTGACTTTCATAAATTATTTTTTTAAATTTGATTATAAAGTATGAAAAAATACATTTAATTCTATTATAAATTCAATGTCAATGAATTTAATTTGAAACACGATCTTAATATATTATATTTTATAATATATATTTATTTAAAATGTAGATATTGTTACTCAAAGTAGTGCATTGAATCCGTAGAAAGTCAAATATGAAGATTCAAAGAGGACATAGAGAGTAACTACTAATATCTCTCCTCAAGAATATTTTTCTAATATTGATTTTTTATAGTCAAAATTCATAAATTTTGATATTTAATTAAATAAGATTCATAGTAAATATTAATATAAAATATTTTATTTATATTTTAAAATATTTTCAAAATACATTTCTATCTAAATAGTATATCATGTAATTGTATTATGTCAAGGGTCAATGTTTCTTGACTTTACGGCTCCCACTCTTTCTTAGGTTTGATGATCTACGGATGAGACATGTGCTTGGGCAAGTTCTGGTTGGCCTACAGGGTAGAGGGGACCACATTATTGGACCGATGTATCACGGTCCCCGTCTGACGATCCATCACAGAAAAACCATGAGCATCAAATTCAATAGTGCAGTTGTTATCGCGAGTGAGTTTGCGAACAGAGATAAGATTGTGTGTGATATGGGGGAAACTAGGACATTATGTAAAGAAAGGGGAGGAGTAAACTCTACACCTTGTTCTTCCTATTTTCGGATTTGCTTCAATAGTTTCGTATTTTTTTTTCACACCCAACTCTAAGGGAGGGAGAAGATAATATATAGATAATATTAACCTTGTTAGAGTGTGCTTAGAAGTCTCAACTATGCCTTCCTCCTCAAGAGTAGGATTAGAATTCAAGTAGGATTAGAATTCTCTCTTCAAACTCTTTCCTCTTTCTCTTCCTTCACATGCTAGGACTCTAAGTCTAGATAAAACATCTAAAATAATTCTAGATAAATCTATTCGTTTGTCAAAAAATAATGCCAACACACTATGGAACTAACATCTCAATCAAATACTGATGGATCGTCTTGTTGGAAAGAATCATCTATTCAAGTGCAGTATATTATTGATAAAATATTGGTCTTAATTCTACTAATTATGCATTGGAAGGATTGGTCCTAGAGGTCCTATATCTTCCATAGAGGTGTACTATGATGTAATATACGAAAACTAATAATTCGTGGACAACATAATTGTCCTTAACCGGTGCAATGATTCAAGGAAAAAACCATTAAAAACTTCTCTTCTCTTGAAAATGCTATCATATAAGGATGAAATGCCTTTAAAGTCATTACCTGGCTGTTGCAATGCTATTAACGATAATTATGAATGGGAAGCTTAAGTGCAATTCTTCGATATTAAGGAACGGGGTGGACAATTTGAAGCCAAAACAAGTATCTGAAAAAAAGCTGCTTGGCCAATGGGGGAGTGAGAGACATATAGGGAAGCTTAAATGCCTTTAAAGTAACCTCTTTTCCGCCACACATTTTTTTATAGGAAAGCTTAAATGCCTTTAAAGTCACCCCTTTTCCGCCACACATTTTTATATTGTTGGAGTTCCCACATCGGAAAATAAAGATGAGTATCACTTGCATATATTGAAGGGTGAAGCCCTACCTATCAGCTTAAGCTTTTGGGTTAGAATTGTGGATCCTGACTTTATATGCAAGTGGTTAATTTTACCCGACACTCTATCCGTTGTTCTCGGCCCACCGGAATTTTAACATGGTATCAGAGCAGGTCCGGTCCGGGTTTGATTGTTCTTGGTTGTTTGGGCTGAGTTGGCTAAAAAAAGATTGAGATGTCACCGCCAATTGTGTGGGCTAGCTATAAGAGATTGAGATGCTAGGCCCGTTTATCCAAGTGCTAACTAGGCCAGGCTAGTTACCACTTGCGGGGGAGTGTTGGAGTTCCCACATCGGAAAATAAAGATGAGTATCACTTGCATATATTGAAGGGTGAAGCCCTACCTATCAGCTTAAGCTTTTGAGTAAGAATTGTGGATCCTGACTTTAAATGCAAGTGGTTAATTTTACCCGACACTCTATCCGTTGTTCTCGGCCCACTGGAATTTTAACATGATTTTTATTTACTTATTTTTTTTTGAATTTTCTTGCCTTTTTTTTGTGAAGAAGGAGGGAGTGGGAGACATATATGGTACACATTTGGTGTACCCCTAGTGTATCACCAACCAAGACATACTCCGTAATTACACAAAAGTATCACCAACCAAACAAGTACTTTAGATTGAACAGTGAATATAGTGGGGAATCACCCCGAATCAGTGAATCACCAACCAAACAATTAATAATTACACAAAAGTATCACAAACCAAACAATGAATATTACCTCGGCTTTGTTTTTAACCTATTCTTATTATTTACCGAGTATTATTTACTATTATTAAAATTAAATCCAAAATCAATTTTGATATAAGACTAGATTAGATCAGAATTTATTACAATCAGATTAGGTGAATGTCATGTTCACTTGCCTAATTTGATTAATTCTGATTTGAATATAATAAGTGATGACCAGGTTTAATATGATATGATTATAATTATGCAGAGTATTTAAAATTATTTTTCATCTGATTTGATATAATTCCAATAGAATAAGTATAAGTAGAGGAGCACACAATCTTAGTCTGTCTTTGCATCCCCCTTTGGTGGTTCATTTTTGTGATGGTGACCTCATTATTCCCTTTTAAAAGTAAACTAATTAGCTAATTTGAATTTTACACACAATTGTAAACTCAAATAAGTTGAGATGACATCGAACAACAATACATTAATAAAATAGAATTTTTTTTCTTTAATACTCGATTTAATGTCATCTTTTCAAGTCTCTCTTATTAGTTGAACCACAGCACACTTTATTAACTCATCAGAATAGTAGGTCATACAAACCTCAATACTCCAACCTCCACAAACCTACCTACTCGATTACATGCTACTCTTCTTCATCTTACTACTAATGAAACAATTAATATTAAACTTAATGTAGGCTACACACTCATCCATCCTCATTTCCTCTTTTTAGTGTCACTTAATGTTTCTGGCCTTCCGGATTGTGTATCAGGTGGCAGCCCACGTTGCAATCCAAATTCTTCTCTCCCTTCTTGTGCCATGCTTGCTTAACTTGATATAGTATTCATGGAAGCTGGCAACTTGGAGTATGCATCCCATTGGTTCTAGTACCTTACTGATCAGCTCCTTGGCAAATGGGCAGTCCCAAAAAAGATGGTTGATATCCTCTTCCCCAATGTCACAGAATAGGCATTTCAGTATTAACCACATGTTGAATTGATGTTTGGGGATAGTTAGTCTATTCCACACCAAGTTAACCCATTCTACTTTAGGGGGTTGACCTAGGAGCCAGAGATACCCTTCCTCTGGTGTGTATTCTCCTCTATTGTTCATTCCCTCAAATTCCGACCTCACTTTTATCATCCTCTTCCAATAATAACAAGTATCCTGTTTTGGATTGTAATTCCAGAACTCCGTGTCCTTAATTTATCATCCTCTCTTGTTAGTTACAACTAGTGTAAAGATGTGTTTGCAGCCAAGTTAGAGAGACCAAGACTTAATCCCCGATTCTTGATTACGTTCCATAATTAGCTCCCCTAATTACATTCCATAAATATGGCACTCTTGTTACAAAACGGGAATTAGTCAGTTTTGTATCTCTAATATTATCCGTAATCCTGGCTCTTAGTTTCTTCTAACTTGACCTAGTTTTTTAAAGTTAAAAAATGTACTCCCTCCGTCCCAAAAAGAATGAGACGGTTTGACTTTTTGGGAAATTAAGGAAGGGATATTTTGGTATTGACTTTCCAAAAATACCCTTGATGTGATGTGTAAAAGTAGGATGTGATGGGTAGATTATTAGGAAAAAAGTATGATGTGATAGGTAGGGTATGAAAAAGTAAGGGTAAAAGTGGTTTTTTAATAGAAATGTAACAAACTTTATGGACGCAGTTTTTTCTAAACGTAACAAACTTTTTGGGACGGAGGGAGTATTTTTATATGATGAATACTCCCTCCGTCCCACTGTCTTTGTCCACTTACCTTTTGGCACACCATCCAATGTACTTCTTTAATCCATTTTATCTTGTAATTTATATACTACCTCCGTCCCATTTTATAACGCCTGTTTCGGTTTACGATGTTTGACTGAAATTATTTTCAAACCATTTTATATGACAAATGGTATAGAATTAAAAAATAAAAATTACATATTAAAAAACTACATCAAAAGATCTACAAAACTAGTAGTGACAATAATATTTTATTTTATCAAATTGCTAACGAAAATAGAGAAAGAAAGTGAATGAAGTTTGACCCTGTGAATAGTAAACAGGCATTATAATTTGGGACGGAGGGAGTATTAAAAAATTATAAAAATTATATATTAATAATCTACTCCGTATATGTTAAGACGAATCAAACAAGATCACACATTACTATTTTTAGGCTTACATATTGAGAGAATTTGATGAGTCAAAGTGCTTTGATGAACAGTTCCAAAAGTCAAAACTGGACAAAGACAATGGGACGGAGGTAGTATATAATAACATTACACGTTTAAAATTTTAACATGTTATCTCCAACACACACAATGATGAATTCGTTTTTACTCAAAAATAGATTTTTTTACATATTTATTATTTGAGTGATCATTTATTTGAGTGATCATTTATTTGAGTGACTATTTTTCACTTTAATTATTCTAACTTTTTCCAACCTTTTTTTTTGTTAAATTTTAGTTTCTTCTAATATTTAACTCTGAAATTTCAACGCAAAAAATAAGGTTTAAGAACGTGTTTGGATGAAGGAGAATGAAGGGAAGTGAACAGTAAAGGAGAGGAGTTTGATTATTGTACATTTGGATTAATTTGGATCTTGGAGGGAAGGACAACTTTGTGGGACGTTTTTCATTGGATAGTTTCACATCTAAGTTTCCAGGTTTGGTAACATAAGGATAACAAAATCCTTTTCTGAAAAAATATTTTCTCTCAAAGATAGATAATATTCTTCAGAAAATTATTTATCTTAATTATTACATATTCAGTATTCAAGTCTCGTGATTCACAACCAAAACAGATCATACATGATCTGCTAATTACATCATCTTTCTTGAGAACTTTTAGAGCATGGGCAGCGGCTTCCACGCCTCTGTCATGCCACGCCACCTCAGACAAAAAAAAAATTCTTCCTTGTGTGGAATTAAGTACCATTCCTCCACGGTGTGCAGGGCTTGGGCGAGGCAGCCCACCCTATTTTTTTACTTTTATATTTTTATTTGAGAAAAAAAATATTTTTTTGTAAGGTAATAGAACTATTTTTTTACTTTCTCGATCCATCCCGCAATAGATTATAATTTTTTTCCTCACCTCTCGATTTTTTTTGTTTATTTGTATGTTTTCATTGATTATTCTTTAAAATAAAATACTAGTCACTTTTTTTTGTAAAATTTTTGACGTGGTTTAATTAATATGTAAGTTTTATTTTTTATCCTTATACTAATTTTTAAATAAAATAATTTCAAAAAACATGAGGTTTGTATTGTAATTCTAAAATTGTAATCTAATTTGAGATGAAGGGGTAAAATAAAATATGGAATAGATGACAAAAAAAATTCATAATTAAAATATTTTAAAAAAAATTTGTTACTTTTTTGAGTAAGTAGAGATACTTTTTTTGATAAAATAAATAGGTAAAGTAATTTTTAGCAATTCTAATATGTCAAGAAAATGAAAAAAAAGGTGATAGTAACGGCTTGCCACTGTAGTGCATGCCATTCTACTCACTTGCCACTAAATGACTGGATTATTTTTTATTGATTGAAAAATTCCACATCAGCGTGTGGCATTCTATTTATGCCTCAACATTGCCCATGCTTTTAATACATATACAGATAGCATATTTTTATATCACATCTATTTTGTTTAGGATAATTTTTATGTATTCCCTCCGTCCACCTAAGGTCTTCCCATTGCGCGTTACGAGGCTTGACCAACTTTATTTTCAATTCAATTTATTTGAATATAGGGGTAAAATTTTAATATAAAATCTATGTAGTAATAAACTACATGAAAAGTTCTAAAAAACTAAAGGTAACAACATTATATTATTTTATGAAATAATAGTAAAAATAAACAAACAAAGTGAATTAAGTTCGACCCTGTAAATAGTGTCTGAAAAGATCTATGGTGGACAGAGAAAGTACTATGTAGGCCAAGGAAAATAAATGAAAAAATAAATTACTTGCATTATTATTATTTATTAGATCGAATAAGTTCATTTTAATTTTTCTCCAATATAATCAAACTAATTTTTGTGCCCAATACAATTTAGTGGAAAACTTTTGTATGGAAAACTTTTGTACTTAGAGTCCGGTTATTAGATTGCTTTGAAATTAAAATTAAAATCAACAAAATATCTTTACGTCTCAAATTTAAAAAAATATTGAGTACTACTTTGTTTATAGGAGTATACAATTATATTTATGTACTTTGGGTACACGCTATCATACTCCCTCCCACCCAAAATGGCATGGATATCACTATTACTATTCTCATTTTCTAAGGTATACTAAAATAAAAATAATTTCATTAAATTTATCTTATTAAGAATTTTTAAAATTTAATTTTTTTATGAGGTATATTAATACACAATACAAATTGTGAGTAAATGACGATTTAAGTTTCTCTGATTTTGCTAGGAGAAGTCAACCTGGAGAAATACGTACACCAGGACGAAGGTATGATTATGAAATTGAGTAGCGAAAACAAGCTAAGAAAATGAATAAAATTTAAATGTGTAGATTTTGCATGTGAACGATATTTTCGAAGGGAGAAAACATTATTTAATAATTAAAAAAAAATACTTGCATTAGTTGCATGTGGAAAGGTTGAACATAAGGCCGCTACCGTAATGAGAAAGCTAAGTGAATTGACCATTAATAAATACTCCCTTCGTCCCAGAGTATTTGTCCACTTTTATTTTTACACACCATCCAATGCACTTCTTTAATCCATTTTATCTTATAATTTGTATATTAAAAATTTATAGAAATTATGTATTAATAATCTATATGTTAAGACAAATCAAACAAGATCACACATGACTATATTTAGGCTTACACATTGAGAAAATTTGATGAGTCAAAGTGCTTAGATGAACAGTTCCAAAAGTCAAAAGTGGACGAACATTATATTGCGGGACAGAGGGAGTATAATTGTATAAAAATGAATGTTGTAAAATTTTTATAAATCAAAACTATATCTAAAATAAAGTCATTTATACTCCGTATTAAATTACACAATAACTGACTTACCTTTTTTCATAAAGTGCAGTCAGATTATGTAAAAGTTGACCAAAAAGTCAAAATATTAAAAAAATTTGTATTTAATTTGAGACGTAAAGATATTTGTTAATTTTGAATAAAACAAACCAAATGACGGGCCTCTAATACTATGTTTGGTTCAAAGAATTTGGATGGAAAAGAAAGGAAAATATTTTTCTCTCATTTTCCTCAGAAAGAATTTTGTTTCTTCTCATCCTTTTACATTCTCATTTTCTTTTTTTCCTCTCTAATCAAACTAGAAATATTCTTTTCCATATCATTTTCTTTTCATTTTCCTTTCAAAATCTTTGAACCAAACACAGTGCGAGTAGAAATTTTTTTCATAAAATTTAACATATTGAGTACAAAACTTTAACGTGATTGGACAAAAACGTAAACAAACAAAAGTTATCGAGAGGAGAGAGAAAAAAATTGTAATCTATTTAGGAACGGAGGGAGTAATTTTTTTTTAAAAAATAATGTCATACAAAATGGAAAATAATGAACAATAAAACGAGATGAAAAAAAAAGAGCATCCACGTGTTTGGAAGTAACTAAAGCGTAAGATGACTGTATGAGCAACTCTTAAATAACCAAATTAAAGAACCAACAAGCACTAACTCAGTCTTCAAATCTTGTGTTTTAATGACAAAGAACTACTTACTAGTTACTAAACATGGATTTTGGTAATTTCAAACAACTAATTCAAATTCAAAAATAGACTAATTAATAGAGTGGAACTAACAAAAAAAAGTCAGAGCTGAGATAGAGGATGCTATAGATTTTCCATGTACTCATCGAATTAATTCTTCTCGCAAAAATGCATTCCAAATTGTAAATTATTGGGACATTGGTGATTGTGTTTACAGTTGTAAACACTGCAAGGCCTTCTTTTGGCTGGAAGAGCGCCTAATTAGTCAATCAACCAAGAAAGAACCAAAGTATTCACTGTGTTGTAAACACGGAAACATCAAACTAGCTCCAATCAAAGAAGCCCCTATGCCTCTAAAGAACATGCTGAATGAGATGGATGCTGAGAGCAAGCACTTCCAATCAAATATTCGATCATATAATTGTATGTTCTCATTCACGTCTCTCGGTGGGAAAATAATTAGAGACTCTACCTCGGGTAGAGGTCCACCTACGTTTAAGCTAGGAGGGCAGAATTAGCATCAAGTCGCCAAGGGTGGAAGATCTTGATTTGCAATAAAGAACTTCCTATATGTAACCAAACTACGAATGTAGTTTATAAAGAAGTGTTCCAAAATTTATAACACTCTCAAACCTCCCCCACTTTTCATAACTACTTATTTATGTAATCCTTTAGACTTTTGTAAGATTATTTCTGATTCAAAACATGGAGTACTTATGTGTCAATTAATACTCCGTGCATCGCACGGGTACGGGTCTAGTTAATAGAGTGGAACTAACAAAAAAAAAAAAGTCAGAGCTGAGATAGAGGATGCTATACATGCTCCGATCCCCTTGTCATGTTTTCCCCACGTTGCTTGGCCAAAAAAAAGTCGAGAAACATTTGCACGCAGCTTGCTTGTCATGTTTTCCTCTTCGACAATTTCTCCTTCTTAGGTGTAAAACCCTCTGGAAGAGCACCACATCCCACAAACAAATAAAACAACATAATTGTTCATTTGTACTTGGCAAAAAAAAAGGAAGAAAAAAGATAAACAATGCAAGTGTATATATATTAGGGAGTACGAAGAAAACACTTACCCTCTCTTATTTCGTCAATTGTTCCCTTGCGGAAAAGAAATTCTCCCTGGGCATCTTCACTCAATATTTCGGAGAGAAGAGAGGGGATGCACTCCGTTTCAGAATCACCGGAGTACTCCGCCGACAAGAAGGACCCCTGATCTGAGCCGGAAACATCGAAAGCCGACACAAAATCGGCTAGTCGATTAGACTCCCGCCGAACATAGAGGATAGTGACAACTGTCTTGTCACGCTCTATGTCGGCGATGACGTTACGGGCCTTTTGTAGGAGCCCGTTAACCAACAAAGCTGTGGGTGTGCTTCCCTTCATGAACTCCCCACAAACAAGCTTCCGGACCATGTGCATGTTGTCGTTTAAAAGGAGGAGCCCCTTCTTGCACTCGTGGGAGTCTTCAAACCCACGAAGCAACTGCCTACTGGCCTCTAAAGCTTTTAGCATCGCGAAGACCTCTGCTCCTTCGACTGTGCACACATCGTCGGGTAAAGATTGGTGAATTAGATTGCCCAGAAGCTCCCCTCTTGGTGTCCGGAATGACACCCCGATGGCTCGGCTAGCCAACGAAGCGTCACAGTTGGTTGTGAGAAGTCCTGGGGGAGCCACCCAATAACAAAGCTCCGGGATGCGAGGCAGGATAGGAGTCCAATTGGGAGATATGGCTATGCGCTCACGATGGAGTAGTTTCGAAATTTTATCCTCCCAGCCGTAGTAGCGCCAAATGAGGGAGTAAGCGTCTCCAAGATTTAGGGACAATTCGGGGGAATGCAGTGCAGAGTTGTGCTTGTGAACCCACTGCTGGTAATTAGTGTCAAACCTACGCAGGACTTGCATATCCTATAAAGTTGTTGAAAAAAAAGAAGATACAGAATGAACAGAATGTACACAATTATCAAACCTGCTGGATTGTATGAAAGGACAAGCAGACATATAGTATAAGAAGAGAGAAGCTAAGTGGGGTCAAAGATGGAGCAGTACTTTTATGTCCTCTTTGCCAATTATTAATTAGTTTCTAGAGAGAATTTCAACTTTTCATTTATTTCCAAATTAACATGTTCTCTTTTCAACTTTCATTTATTGTTGCATGTATTTATTGATTTGTGTATACATGCATGCATCAAATATATATATATATATATATATATATATATATGTTCACCAAATATACATGAAGGGAGGAAACAGTAGTAAGGACACAGTCAGATCACTAGGCAATGACTAAAGGTACTTTAGATAGAAATTATATGTTGTGGTGTTGGATCACATTTACATTACATAACAGGTTTAATTTGATACATACATGGCAATGATATTATTTAGCTAGAAATTTCAGGTCAAATTGAATTGAATGAGAATATTGCCAATTCAAACACCCACTTACAGAGATAGAAGGTGGCGCTTCATAGAGTACTCCAGAGCCGTGTGCAACATCATACATGGGAGAAAACGGAGGGATCCGTCCACCGGGATAATACAGCTCCCACTCGGTAGCATATGGAATGCGAGCTACCTCTTGAATAAGAGAGGTAGCGGTAGAATGCCTTTTCTTTGAAAAGAACCTCTTGAAGAGAGGTAAAAATGGTATTTTTAAAACCATTTTCTAGCAGGAAGAGGAAGGAATTGAAGAGCGAGAAATGAAATGGGGTTAGGGTTTTGACCGATTGGAAAAAAGGCGAGAAATTGGAGAAGAAAGCTCCAGAAAGAAAGAAGACTTCGAAAACAGGTGAGAAATGCAATGGGATCGGAGAAGAAAGCTCCAAAAAGAAAGAATACTTCGAAAACTGAAACGGATCGGAAGAAAATTTGGAGAAGAAATCACCGGAACAATTTCTGCGGCGGCTCCAGAAACAAAGAGGACTTCCAGCTGCTTTCTTTCTTGCTTTTCCGTCTTTATTTCTTTCTTACTTTCCGTCTTTCTGCTGCTAGCTGGTTTTAGAAACCCAAGTTTGGGATTTGAATGTCATTTCAAATTGCTGGTAGATATTTTGTTTGGGTTTTCGATCAAAACCCGAGATTTGAGTTGGGTGAGTTTTTTAAAACCATATTGCAAAAATAAATAAAAAGTTATCCAAGTATTATAAAATATTTTGTCTCAAAATGAACTTTGCTTTGCTTTTGAAAATAATAATACTTACTCCCTTCCAGACTATTTGTCAATTTTTGACTTTTTCAGTCATAATTTGTAGATTTTGACCTCAAATTAAATAAAAATAGAATTTGATATTGACACAAAAACAATTTTATTAAATTTATTATATCAAATATTTTCTAAATATTATTTTAATTTATCTAATCAATATAAAATATATATTTTATTTAATTATAGGTCAAAGGTTAAAAATAGTTGACCGAAAAAAGTTAAAACTGGATAAATACTTAGGGACGAAGGTAATAATAATAATAATAACAACAACAACAACAACAACAACAATAGTCCTCACCAACATTTTTTAAAACGGTTATGTTCTCATGTTTGTACAAAAAACGATGTTGAAGCACCGAATTAAATCACACGTTGATTAATCTTACTACCTTGGCCTGAAAAAGTACCGTATTTATGGTACATATAATTGTAACGGGCTATAGGCTACACCCAATAAGGGTTAAATTTTTTGAAAATGGTGTACAATTATTCTTACTTAATTTTTTTTGTGAAATTGGACTTATAATTATTTACTTACCTTTCCTTTTTAATTATTTGCAATTTATATTAATCACGTTCAGTATCATAACTTTTCTTTTTTAATTATTTCCAATTTATATTATTCATGTTTAGTATTATAACTTACCTTTTTTTAATTATTTTTAATTATCTTTTTTGTGAAATTGGGTGTATAATTTTACGGAGTATAGCTTACCTTTTTTAATTATTTCCAATTTTTTTTTTGTAAAATTGGGTGTATAATTGTATAACTTACCTTTTATAATTATTTTCAATTGAGTGTATAAAAATGACAGTTACTTACGATATTAAAATACCGTATAATAAAAAAGCTAAGGAACAAATTTTGAACACCCCTACACCGTAAAAAAAGAGGTTAAAATTATTGTACGAAAGGAACTGTATAGAGGGTACCAAAAAAAGATGTTAAAATTAATGTACGAAAGGAATAGTATGGAATGTACCAAAAAAGAGGTTAAAATAACGTGCAAAATTGTACAATTAGTACACTCCGTACGAATTGATAAATACCGCTTGTGTGATAAAAAAGGAACTATATTTGCAGCTTCTAAACCATTTTTTAGATTAATAATAAAAATTAACATTTTAAGTGAACAATTGCCATTTGTAAATGTAACAACACATGGAAAATTGAGCACGGGCGTAATTTTAATAATTATTATTATATTTTCGGAAACTTACCATTTTAAGTGAACAATTGTCATTTGTTAATGTAATAAACCATGGGTGGGAAAACAATATGTTGACCCCATGTCTTTTTAAATAAAGTATAAATATAGATAGGGCTTAGTTTTTTTATTTATTTATTATTCCACCCTTACCCCTTTATAAACCTATGGACTTTCATCACTTCTTATTTGGTTACTATGCGCCGGTTTGTTTAGTTTTTTTTATTTAAATAAGAGATAATTGTTAAAATTTTAACATATAACGGGACAACTTTAGACGTAAATTCGATAGGGTACACAAAATTATTTTTCAAAATAATTATGGACGAGTATTATTCTGAATAAAACTAGTATTTTGATATATTGTGCACCAAAATTGGTGTTCGGGTGGATGAGATGTTAATATGCTAGTCTTTAACAACATACCATAAGCAAGTTATATATGGAGGGAGAACCAAAGGAGCCCGCCGTCTGGCTCGGCGCGCTTGCGAAGCTTCGTGACGTACCGAGGCGAGGGCCGAACCCTTATATTTTATGAGACCGAATCGAATGCATTTGGCTTCGTTAATAACGAAGTATTAGATCGTTTATTAACGAAGGAATCAAAGGTATGCATGCACACCATTGAAGGGTCTCCCCGTGACCCTTCGGTTTGTCCGTCCATGGCTGTAGAAACAGACACTCGAAAATCCTTGAACTTTCTGCGTCCAACTCTCTCTCATTTCTGATCAGTTTTCCGGCAAGTAATTCCTCATCCTTCTCTTTCCCCGGCACAAGGTTCTACCGCTCTAAATTTTGTGTGCTAGTGGTTTTATCTTGGGAGGGGATCGCTCACGTAAGCTAGAGCAGGAGGCGGGCAATACGGTTTGATTGTCCCCGGCGAGACAATCCGGTCGCTCCAGTAAAGGCACTGTTTCTTCGTCTTCTTTCGCCGTTCGGTTTCCAGCGACTTCTTGTATTTTGTTAATTTTATTTTTCGTTGTAAAATCTGAACGTCTTATAAGTTCGGATTAATTTTTCTTTTTATTCCCGCTGTAATACACGTAGTATGTAACAATAATTACTCATTGAATTATATTCCTAGCCGTTAGTTCACGTCTCTCAATTTTATTTCTTTGTCATAATTAATTCAATCTATATGAAAATTGTGGTATAAGCCGTATAACTAATTAATGATATTTACTCCGTATAAATCTAAATGCGGAGTATTACATAAAAAATTTATAAAATAGGATGTTACAAAAATATATTATTTTATTAAATTTACAATGAAAATTTTCAAAAAAATACAAAATAATAATATTAAGCTTTATGTTTAGAATAGTAAATGTTGAGGAAATTAACGATAACTTGGATGAATCGAGAGTTGCGTAAACACTTTCTGATTGAATAATTTGGTTGTTCACTCCAAAATTCAATCAGATAAAACTCGAAAGTATCTAGAACGAAATATGAAATTTGCTATGAAAACCCGAAAAAAAATCCGACCATGGTCTGCGGGAATTTATAAATTTGCGGCAGAGGGAGAAGAAGCCTATCACGTCTCTTTCCCAAGTTACGCGATCCTTCGCGCGGAAGTTCTCCGAAATTAGGTGCTATCCAATCGGAAGTTTTCTATTAAAGAAAATTCGAAAATTAAAATTCCAATTGAATTTTTTAACATAGCACCAGCCAAGGGCTCAGCCTCTTGGACCCCGCAGGGGCTGCCTCCCCTTGAACCCTGCTCGGGGGAAGGGGCGCTGCCCCCGAACCCCCGGGCGCTGCCCCCTTGGAACCCAGTTCCAATTGAATTTTTTAACGAGATTTTTATCGTAACAAACTCAATGAAGCGTGCACTCTGCACTACCAAACTTTGTTGATGGTTATTAGGATACCATTGGTCGTAATTTTTCCAATTATACTAAGGCTAGGGGCCACAAGTTTAAAGACTAGGGGCCACAAGTTTTTCCAATAAGGAGGAAAACTTTTTTGAGATGAAAAAGGCTAGGGGCCACAAGTTTAATTCTTATTCCATACCCGCCCTAATAGCTCGGCAATTCTACTCTTCATTCTTACATTCAGGCACAACAAAATAAACTAATTTATGTCCAAAAGTATTTAATAAGATATTACATTAATTACAAAGGGACGATGGGAGTATAACATATAGTAATTCAAAAGACATTGTTACCCTTAAGTTTATATCCATAATTATTTAAGACATTATATAAATTAGTACCCAAAGTCATTATCATACTATGGGAGGTGTATTCAATCCAAATTCTGCAGGATTTTTTTGGATTTCAAAAGTCAGTTGGTATTCAATCGGGATTTTAAAAAATTATTTAAAATATAAGTGTATTTAATTCAGATTTTAAAAAGTACTCCGTAATTAGTAATAAGATCAAGTTGAGGAGCCCACAAGCCTCCACAAAGCCCAATATTTTCTTCCTTGGCACAAACAGTCCAGCAGCTCCAGCACCGTCCAAACAGCATTTCAGCAGGTCCAAACCAGTAGCACAGCCGCAATGAACCACAGCAGCAAACGGGGCTGTTGAAGGCCAGATCCAATGCGTCATTATTTCCAGCAGCGTCATAAAACAGCCCTGAAATTGTCCTTCATCTCCCCGTGAAGTTACAACGCACCAACCTGAGGTGGTTAAGGAAAAAAAACCAGGCCAAGAAACCTGCCGGTGAAGCCTAGAGGACAGCGCACAAGGTACAGCTTACCTCGGCCTCAAACCAGCTGCACAAAGGCTGTCACTGCCCGTATTTTCCCCCCTTTGGTACCATAATTCCAGCAGCTGTGAATGGGATCCAAAAGCCTGACCAGGAGCTCCTATAAACACCCTTGAAGTTGTCCTCTTCCTCTCAATGAAGTCACAAAGAAGCAACCAAAGGTGGTTAAGCATTGAGGACAAAGCATAGGCAATAGCTTTCCTCAGCCTCAAACCAACAACCCAAAAGGCATACACTGCACTTCAACACCTGTGTTGGCTCCGAAATCCATCAGCTCCTTTAGCACGTCAAAACAACAGTTCAATGAAGTCCACACAGCAGTGTGAAAGCCAAACCAAGTACCAAAGGAAGGAAGGAGCCTGGGAAATGAACAAGGCTACAACACACAACCAAAAGGACAGGGCTACCAACAAGAAAACTCAACTTTCCTTCACCCGAGCAACACACAGATTGGTTGAAGCAAAAGTCAAACACTTCCCTTTTATGGTGTTGAGACATTGGAATCCAAGGACTCATCAATGGCTTCCCATTTTTTGGTGTTACACAGAAGGCAGCGAGAAATACATATTAGGCGGCCCTTCCCAAACAAGGTGAAAGGTGAACCATGATTAGTGGCATTGCCCAAAATCTCTCCTCTCATCCTAAAGGCTGACCTGGAAAACACACAAGGCCGCAGCCCAGGGCATTCTTCAAAGCAGAAGCAGAATACAGACGAAGACATGAGCAATGCCACACAGCCATTGTCAAAATGAAAGCAGAACCACAAGTGCTAGAGCAAAGAATTTCATCTTCAAGCTACCCTTATAAGTTATGAATGAAGAAAAGCACAAGCAACAGAGCCCAGACCATGCTCAACCAAACAGCAAAGGGGAAACGAAGAACATTAACAGTGCCAGGGGCCAAGAAATTCAAGGAAGCCAAAACCAGTTTATGAATCAGATATCCAACACTAGACATTGAAAGGCCACTAAATCCCGTCCACAATACCAGAATAAAAGGAGAAGAAACAAGCTGAAATCATGGTTAAACCTGGACTTTCAAGGTAGCGCTGTGAACAGTGACACCGAGTCCCAGAGACGCTAAATTCAATGGAATCTTGAGTTGAAATGATAATCCAACTTCAGGCCGTGGGAGAACATACCAAGTCGCTTAGAGACCCAACCAATTTGGTGTTGAAAAGAGCAAGAATCGAGGTGAAATCGCATCACCATAGTCGCAGATGAACAGTAACCACGAGAAGTTGACCACCGAGTCGCGCAAAGCCAGTCAAATTTCAGCGTGATTGAACTCAAAATCAGATAGATATATGCTGATGACGAACCTTGTTTGGGAAGGGCCGCCTAATATGTTAGTCGAGACCACGGCTCAGAGTAATAGACCAAGGCGGTTTGTTTCGGCCTCTTAATGGTTCAAATGTCTGAATGGTTCAGCACTTAATGGTTCAAACTGTTTGTTTCAGCCTCTTAATGGTTCAGAAGTCTGAATGGTTAAGAGATTTGCCTCTGAATGGTTAAGTATTATACAGAGTCTGAATGATTAATACCTCTTATCTGAATTGATCATATATTTGCCTCTGAATAGTTAAGCAATATACTAGCTCTTAATGGTTCAGACCTCTTACTGGTTCATCACTTAATGGTTCAGACCTCTTACTGATTCAGCACTTACCCATTCAGAAGTTGCCAAACAGCCCCTAAGAGTGTGTTTGGATGGGGGAGAAATGAAGGGAAGTGAATGGTAAGGAAGAGGCAATGCTAAGGGTACACCAAAGCGGTATCCCAATTGTACACTACATGCTTCTTCATCACACATCTCTATTTAATTTTTAATTTTTTAATTTTTTTTGAATCTCTTACAAATTATTGTGGACAAGGAGGGAGTGAGGGACAATTGAATAAGTGAAACAAGTGAAGGTGATGTTTGACCAAGACCTGTGGTTGTGGGGACGACCACGCCTTGATCTTCGTCAGCCGCCCGGGCTTTACTCAATTATGTTTAGTCCCTGAAGTACTCTACCTCGATAAAGTCTCTCAAGAGACACGGGACGTACGCACAAGTCCTGGTGAACTAGTGAATATTGATGTGTTCTTACTTACGCTCTTTACTTTTCGATTACTTTGTTTTAATTTTATGTGATTTCGTTTAAACACTGTTCACTCTTCTAGAGTTGAGCGTTTATCCTAATAGATTTCTCTGATTTGGATCATTTGGCCACGCTTACTAAATGGATATTCCGGATTCAGAAATACTTTGACTATTTCTTAACCCTGGAAGCCGAGCATCTTCAACTCCCATGTTAAGTTGACCACCCAGCTTTGGAATTGTTTCATTATTACTAGGAGAATACATGTGGCACAACTTGGGCATATTTTCGACTTGCAGTTCAACAACATTTTGATCCCAGTTACTAAAAAAATTATGTGGGCATGTTGTCCAAACTAACCCGAACAATGATGGTCATGGAGTACCAGACGGCTTTTGAAACCATCCTTATTAAGGTTATCCGACATTCCAAATTACTCTTATTTTCGTGTATGTCGTCGCAGCAGGGTGAGGCCTTCCATTCTAGGTTTTTGAAGCTGGGAGTGGTACTTTAGAGATGATAGAATTTAGGATGGGATATGGAATACTAGGTTGGGCAATAAGACACTTGGGCTGAACCAATTAAAAGATTGAATTCAATCGATTAGTTAGTTCAACTCAAGGGCTTATATACCGGTTTATTTTCTCTTCAAATTCCGATATGGGACACTCTTTAACACTCCCCCTCAAGTGGACAACTGGGCCAATTTGAATCTAACCGGTTGACCACTTGCAAATAGACTCCCATCACCTTGATTTTGAGCGCCAACACCTAAAGAACCACGAGCCGCTGGGTATGGACTTCCATACGAGCAATCGTGTTAAACAGGCCACAGGCCGTTGGGTACAACCTCCATACGGACAACTGGGGTAAAGACTAACGGGCCGCTAGGAATGAACATCTAGACGGACACCTTGACAAACAATGTGGGCTAAAACTGGCTCCGATACCATGATAGAATTTAGGATGGGATATGGAATACTGGGTTGGGCAATAAGACACTTGGGCTGAACCAATTAAAAGATTGAATTCAATCGATTAGTTATTTTCTCTTCAGATTCCGATGTGGGATACTCTTTAACAAGAGAGCTGTTTTTTTAAACATCAATTTTATTGGAATCGGCGAAGGAAGCTTAGCTTTACATTCATCGCATTTACGTTTTACTAGGACAGTGAATTGAGGCTCATTAGACTATATACTATAAGAGAGAGGTTTGAGAAGACTGATCGTCTCCGAAGTGGTGAGTTACAAAGTCTAGAGGGAGGGGGTGTATAAACTTTGTTAAAAATTTAAAAAAAATCATTCTTTTGAAAATGTGAGTTAATGAGAAACAATTGTTAATCTTAGGTTCTTGAGAACTTAAATTAAGCGTGCAGAAGTTGGTGGGGTATTTGAGCAATAATCAAGTATGGATCGGTTCATTTCACAGTTTAAAATAATCACTTAAGTAATAAGTAAAAATTATAGAGAGAGACATGCAAACTTTTAACAAGGTTCGAAGGCGGGATAATCCTTCTACGTCCTCGGAATCCACTAGGTAGTTAAATGCTGAAAGTGAACCAGTAATTACAGTAGGGAAAGTATGGTATATCTTCACAAAGCAAATGTTGCTACTTTACACGTGCAGATTTTGTTGTTCCTTCGAAGGTCAAACTTCTTCAACAACTACAAGATCCGAACAATAAGACTTGCAAGGTCAGTTTGTATGAAAACTGACGTGTCCCGTTTTAATCAAGAACTTTGATTAAAAAATTCCTTCAACTTGGTGTTGTACTTAAGATAAGGGACCTTCAAGTATTTTCACTTATAGCTCTTGGAAGAAGGATAAGTTTGCTTCTGGATAAAGGAGTTTTAGAATTCTCTCTTTTTCAAGCGTTGAGGATTTTCTCGTATAGTTTTCCCTTTTTGTAAATCCGTGTCTGTATATCTTCTTCAGTCACAAACCGGCCTAATATTTAGCCAATATTTTAAATAAATAAATATTATTTATTTATTGAGACTCATTATTTTAAGTAATAAATATTGAGATTCCGATCTCATTAAACGGGCTTCCAAAGTTAATGAACTTTAATAACGGGCCTCTCAATATTAATTAATTAAATTTAATTAATTAATGTTTGGGATTCACTCGGAAGTTTGAAATTAAAGTTTTAAGAAAAAATATTTTCAAGATATCATAAATTTAGTTTTGACTGGTTATTTTCGAAAAATGCAATCAGTTCTCAATTCGGGCAGGTTCGAGGGGAAAACCGTGTATCGTTCAGGTCAGACTTCACACAACGGAGTGGTATTTAGGGAGGTAACTCCCTAATTAAAAGCCCACGCCACTTCCCCTCCCATATCTCTACATTCATTCACATCTTTATTTCTCCACCTCACCACCATTACTCCCCATCATTATAAATTCACTCCTCTCCTTCCATTCCTCCATCATTTGGTAACCCACCAACCATCCAACTCCCTCACTCTCCCTCTTCCTTATGAACGCCAGCCAGTAGAATCCCAGGAGACGACAGAGCTCCGGCGAGGATAGAGAAGGAGAAAGGCGAGAAGAAGAAGGAGAGGAAGGAGGTGCTGATTTTTGGATAACAAATCCCGTCAGCCCACTTTGGGCAGAATTTCAACCATCTTAAACTCGCTTTTTGGTCGTGGTTTCTTGACCAAAGTTGTAGCCCTGCGAGTTGGTGAACCATAGTCGCAAACGGTTTGTCAATCGGACGAGTAACGAAGTCGATACGGCCATTTTACCAAAACTGGTCCAGTGGTGACAGAAAACGCGAGGTTTGCAACTTTCGCGCCCGTTCTCGTTTCGTCTCATCCAATCCGCTATTCAGTGAATGCGTGCCGACTCTTCACAACCCGTATAACATATTCTCTAGAAGAATTGGAACTCAAGAATCAGTTTGGAAGTCGGAAGGTCAAAGGTTTGACGACCGTTCGTTGACGTTGATTCGTTCGGCTCCTTTAAACACTGTGTCGTATTCGAGGTATGTACACCCTAGATATAACGGAGGAATCTTTAATATATTTATATGTGAATACGTTTGTTGTTTATATGATTATTTCTGTATAGATTCATATTGTGATATATTCTTGATCTATTAATGTTGCATAGAGAACAATGAGGATTCCAACCGTTATGAAATTGAATGATTAAACAAGGCTAAATGGATGTTTGACTCCAATGTAAACAATAAGGATTGTGAAATAAAAGTGGAAACATGGTTGGATTATGAAGAATATGTTTAGGCTTGAGGAGATACCAATGAATATCACAATAGCATCACTAGGTACGTAAAAGTGTATAAATTTGACATGTGAATGAACAAGTTGGAAAACACCTAGACCACATTTAGACGATTACATGAACACGTAAATCCATTCCCAAATATATGTGCTGTATATGTGTGAACGAATGTGTATTTGCTACTTTATATGCTCTACTACTTGTCATAACCTTCGTAGAAACCGTATGATCGTAGTTTTCTCGCTATAAGGCTATATGATATGGAACTCGTTGAAAGAGAAATCATCTAGAAATCCATTTTGAATCTAGAGAAACTCAATATTTAGATATATTTGTAAATCTTACATGTTTGTTATAAATTTCAAAAGGTTGATCATAATCCGACAGACCAAAGTAGATACCGAGTACTATGATAGTAAACTGTCAAATTGTGATAATCTACTATCAGGTGCTGCTGACTCTGACAGTCGATTATCACAAAGTGACAATCGATTATCAGAGGCTGCAGAAGTTTGATAATTGATTATCAGCAAGTGATAATTGATTATCACGGGCTGCTGAATTTTTAGAAAGATCCGAAATCAAAATGCTTTCAAGGTAAGAATCAACATTTGAAATATGGATTAAAAACCAAGACTTAGCTTTCAAGCAATGCATTCATAACATCAGGTATATCCTAGACACATGTGTAGGTTTATGGCATACTTTGCATACCGCGACAAGAGGTCAGGCCCAGTGCGCCTCTTCCGCGAGCCCGTTCCGGAACCTACGGGGTCCAGCGGGTTCACATATCGAGGGCTTGTGTACGTACATGGTAGCTAGGCTTGGATATCACCCACATTGCTAGTCTCCAACGGGATGACTAAGTCGTTCCTCGGCCCATCTACCGCGTGGGGATGATCACCGAAGGGCAGGGGTGTCCCTGCGTAGTCTAACTCATGCATCATGAATCATTTGACATTGCATCGCTTGTAAGTAATTATACAAATCTCAATTATCAAATTGTATGTGATATTGTAAAACGTACCGTACTTCATATCCAACACCGTCGATGACAAGGCCAAGGTATTAATGTTTGGACAATATTCCAAAATGAATCTCCATGATATGTATATGTGTTTCTTGTATCTTGTGATGTGTACAATGCAAGCATGAAGTTATGTGGCCAGTGTGATGCATGGTATTTAAATATAAATATGTTATCGATCTCTTGTGCTATCATACCACTCAGCTTTATGCTGAGCGTGTAGTCTTTTTGTCTACACGTAGGTTGAAGCACAGATTATGTGAACCACCCGGAGGACGAAGAGACGATAGGATGGCAGGTTGACATGCATGATTTTCACAAGTTTTGCATTTGAAGTTTTGGGTTTGACCCACATCATTGTATTTGTATTATTTTAAGTCTTCAGCTATCTCCAACATTTTGTAAAAGGATCGATCCGAATTTAATATGTTATATTTGTCTTTTAAATTTTATTTAATGATTTGGAAGTATTTTAAAAATATTTCTCTCGTTTCATCTTAATTCCTATAATTCTGGGTTATACGAATTGGGTGTTACACTTTCGTAAGAACTATATATGAAGCTAGATAGGTTAACCTATTCAATGAAGAAAATAGATAAACTTTCGTTTGCTAGCCTCAAATTGAATGAAGGGGGCGTGAGGATTGTCCATGGAAATATCTTCTTAGACATAAGCTATTTGTTGAAGAGATTCCTTTGTCATAGGCTTTATCTTCTAGCTATTTGTTCGAGAATTCTGGACTGTAGTTCTTTAATAAGGGGAATCCACATTTTGTCTTCTTGCCATTTGTTCTCGAATCAGTTGAATTATCCTCAATCTAGCTGTTTGATTGTCAAAGAGTTAATTTTCCTTGGCAACGGATAGAATTCCTTCAATCATGACTTATATTACTTTCTAAGTCCTTTTTTCTTTCTCACTTATTGATCGAGAGTTCCGGTTCATAACATTGAGAAATCTAGCTCTTAATTCTCACAGTTCTGGATAAGTGATACTGAGACTTCCGGGTGAGATAGATATCCGATTTAGTCTTCTGAGAGATAGAAGGATCCGCACTAGTGCTAGTCTTCCGAAGTGTAGATTTTCAGAATAGAGAACAACTCTAGCTTTCTTAATTCATTGTTTTGCACGGATGGCTATGAGACTTCCGGGTAGAACTTAAGTGTTCTAGAGACTTTAGAATTTCGAAGCGATTAACTTCTTTTAAGAATTCCATTCTTGAGTATGATATCTCCGAGTGAGATTTCCAATTTCCATATCATTGATTATTGAATCATCTTCAAACATTGTGGTTCAAATCTCAAGACAAAATATCACAAGTTTCATTGGAACTCAAGAACTTGGTTTTAAGAAAATTTGTAAGAGAACAAAAATTACATTGAATCGCGAGAGAGGCCTAAAGACCCTATTACAATCTACATACACCATCATCAAAATCCAATAATATTTTTCCAACAAAGACCAACTCTTTTCATTGAGCGTTTGATTGGCTAAAAACTCGCAATCTTTGTTGTCGAAGTCTTGGGTGAGGAGTCCGAGCGGTTGAAGTCTTGGAGTACGGTAGCTCTCAGCAAGTGTATCGAGGCTCGTGTGAGTCCAGTGCTCAGATTGTACTGGTTTGTTAAGAACACGTAAACTTAACGGAAGTAGTGTAGCTCAAGAAAGTCTCTAGGGAGATTGGATGTATCCACACGTTGTGGTGAATCAGTGAATATCGATGTGTTCTTTCTTACGCTCTTTACTTTCCGATTACTTCGTTTTAATTTTTTGTGATTTCGTTTAAACGTTGTTCACTCCTCCCCTTCTTCTAGCATTGAGCAATTATCATAACACGGCTTAATCCATATTGGAACATTAGTGAAACTGTTAAAATCCACAGTACATTCAGGTTTCCATTTCCTTACATAGACGGATATACTGACATGTTATCAAATTGATAAAATATCTTACTGATTGCTTCATCTCTTTCATCCTCTTTACTAAATCTTACCACAAATTGTCGATGTTTAAAGAAGCTAGCATTTTCTACAACATATTGTATCCATATTCTACCAACAAATAGGTAATGGAGGATTAGCTCTAAGGATGCAAAAGTAGTAGTAGAGTCCCAATAAGTGGAAGATGTAAGAATATCATCATTTGTTAGAGTAGCATATATATTCCCACTTGACTCCTCGGGTTCAATATATGTCAGTTTGCAATCGATGATATCAGAATTGCTTACCACATCAAGATAAGATTTCTTAGAGAATCTCGTACAAATCCCAAACCAGTCAAGACTTATCAGAGGCATAAAAAGAGGGCTTAAGTTTGACTAAGTTTAATTCTTTTATTAGCACAATAATAGGGCTTTAGTTTTGACTTAGCCTGATTATTTTAAAATGTGTTTCCATTCTGTTAGCACAATAATTGGCATCTGTTAGCACAATAATAGGTCCACTCTTGCTGTCATGGTCAGTTAGTCTTATCTTTCTGTTAGTGCCTAAAAAGTACGGATATTCGATTTTTTCTTTGTATTCTAGCATTAGGAGTGGGTTCGGTTTTAGCGGTTCGGTTTTCACCCAAAACCAAAGACAAAACGGAAGGGAAATTAGCGGTTCGGTTCGGTTCGGTTTTGCCTAAAAAATATGTAAACCATTGGTTATTCGGTTCGGTTTTGTACGGTTTTTATTTCGGTTTTTTTCGGTTTTTTCGGTTTTTTAATGTAGAGATTTATAAGCATTAAAAAATGTAAAAACACTAACTTGATGAAATAATAACAATATGTAGTGTTAACTTTGGTTTTTTTGTTTGATTTTTACACAAACAAAAAACCGAACGGAAGGTTATTGTTCCTTTCGGTTCAATTTTACATAAAAAAAAATATGTATTGAGTGCCCAACAAAGATTTAGAAGATTTTAATTACTTCCAAAGACATCGTATGTAAAATCCATTACGAACAATTTATAACAATATGGCTAGAATGTTTAATTAATAGTTAAGAAAATAATTTTAATCCACTAGTAATTTATTTGTATTTATATTTCTATTATTTTTCTATATATCACATATATTCATATAAATAAAACAAAACGGAACCAAACACTTGCGGTTCGGTTCGGTTTTTTACATTCGGTTTTGGTTTTTAAAAATAATTAATAATAATAATCATAATTTTAAAAATAATAGAAATAATAATAATAATAATAATAATAATAATAATAATAATAATAATAATAATAAGAATAAGAATAATAATAATAATAATAATAAGAGGGATAATAATAATAATATTAGTAATAATAATGATAATTTAATGTCAGACACAAAAACAAGCGGTCGAGGGCACACCAATAACCAAAGAAATAATTTAAAATAACATTCTTCAAACATTCAACTACTATTACAACAACTTTTACAACAGACCCAAACCCAGTGAAATCTTACAAAACTGGGGAGGTTTTCAAGAGATCTCAGTGAGAGGTTAAGCAACCAAAAGGACACAAAAGTGGGACCAAGGTAAGAACAAAGTAGTAGCAAAGAATAAAAACCAAAGTAACAAACTAATGCCCTCAAATAACTAACTAGTAATCCCACAATCTGCCAAACAGGTGTATGCTCGATTAGACAAAGCGGAACCCTCTTTTAAGGGACGAGGCAAACAAATTCCATCCCTTAGTGTTTATGAACTTCAAACCTACTGGCCCATGGCACAGGGATCTTGGTGCATGATATGCCAGTGGTGCAAATAGAGTGGCACCAGGCAATGAACAAGTGTGGAAAGACTTCAACAAAGAGCCAGAAAAGGGAAGCGGAGGAGGTTCGCGTGGAAAAACCTGCAAGAGCAGAGAAGATAATAGAGGTGACAGGAAACCATTAATCACGAAAAGCACAGGTGTTGAAAACACAATCTGCCTAAATAAGACGTGAAAAATCTCGTGTCAAATGAATCATTCCAGAAAAGGGAGGTCATTACAAATATGAGACGTGCCCCCTGGAAGATCTCGTAGGTAATGACTCAATAAGTAAGAAATAAAAGTATATAGCCTTTTTATATTCAGAGAATCAAAGGAAAAAGTTTTTTTAAAAAAAGTAACCATTTTTCTTTCTATCAGACTTTTCTACAAGGTATATAGCAACTGGAGATCTCACCGGATAATCATCAAGTGACGTCACCCACGTTAGCCTCTTAATCTTTTCTTCCCTTGTGAGACTGGCTGGAATCATCATTTTCTCAAGTATAAATCAATAAGATTATGAATTATTCGATCTTTCATACTCCAAATATGTATCTCACTGGTTAATGGAGATAATAGGAAGAAAGCTTAAAAAGAGTGGGGTGCGGATGCCAATAAATTACCTGGCTTCTTCGCTTGTTCGATCAAAAACCTATCAACCACAAAGGAGACAATAAAAGGATGTGAATGAGTAATAGAACTTCAATTTTCGAAGCAGAAACTAAACTTTCATACAGAACAAAGGCAAAATTCCAAATAAAAGTGGACAGTGAACAAACTTGCAATATTTTTACATGTTACATTTTGTGACTTCTAAAATTATATAGTTAAGATATATTTCACAAATAAATGTCAATCTATTCTTTCATTTATGAAAAAGTGAAACTAGTCTAGTCCCATTAAAAGGGACCACAAATTTTACTTAGAATGGGCACATGAAGCTAACCACCACCTTGCCCAAGTAAGTAGCTCCAACACGGCGGTCGGCGAATGGCATCCCCGCCAACATCTGCCTCAGTCACCAAACCGAAGTACCAAAACCTGTCCCTTGAGGGGCTTGTGTGGTTGGAGAGGTGGGAGGAACAATGGTTCCCTCCCCACATTTTTCTTTTTAAGGGGTAGGGAACCCATTTTTTAGGCTCTCATTCCTTCCCCTCCCCCTCTTTTCATTCCCCCCAAATCAGAAGGATTAGGCATTTAGGCCTCGCTCTCTGGTTCACATACGCTCAAGATTCTTGCTTCCCTTCCAACACCAACACACATCTTCCTCCCCCATCGTAACCTCTACCGCCAAGAATCCCAGTCTTAGTTGAACCTCCTAATCCCAATCAACAAAACCCTGACCATAGTTCCATTCTTCAGATCACAATCCAGCATAATACCAGTGCCAGTCCCTTGCTAAAAGAGCAAAATCAGAAGGATTCGTGAGTCCCCCCCCTCCCCCCTACAAGCAAACAGGCCATAAGGCATTGGGTGAGGAGGTGAATCAATCTCTA